GGTAACTGAAAAGAAAACTCAACGGTTTAATCTTATAGGATGTTGTTACAGATCAAATTATATCTCCCTCCCCTCCCCCCACCAAGACATGTCATCATGTATCTGTGAATGTAACCTTGTTTGAAAATAGGGTTTTTCTTCTTTTCAACAATTAAATTATTTGACTGGCTGGCACATAGCAACAGCACATTCTGGAGTAGGGTGGGCCCGAATCCTCTCTCCTTTGGAGTGGTGTCTTATAAAAGGATGCCATGGGGTGAAGGAGGCAGGTGCATCCTTAAGGAGCAAAGGCTTCTGAGGATTGCCATCACACACCAGGAACTAGGGGCGAGGCCCAGATGAGGGGGCATGGCCAAGACTCTGACTTGAACTTAGAGCCATCAGAGCTATGAAAACACAGATGCCTGCTCTTTAAAGCCCCCCGTGTTTGCGGTGTTTTGTTAGGCCAGCCCCCACACTGCTAAGACAAATGAGGCATGAGGTCAGGTGAAAAGACAGTGTATCTGGATCTCCAGGTGAAAGTTCGTGGAGACTTAGGAAATGATTCGGATGACTCAGACCCCACTGGGCCTTCTTTGCAAGCAGAAGTAGCTTGCAGGACCTTTGTAAGACTTGAGGTAGTCATGCCTCCCACGTGGAAACCAGTTTTCCTCATGCCCTAGCCCTCCCACCTCACGCGGCTTCTAGAACTGTCACTAAAGACCGCCTAGCAGGCCTCAGAGCCGGGAAGAAAAGGTCTGGCACCGTAAAAAGAATTCCAAGTGTTGCTGATGTATTTAACAATCCTAGAGGAGGAGAGAAGGGATCCTGTCACACGGTGAGAGAAAGACAACTACGACTTTCAAACTGAATTGATTGACCTCGGTACACTTGACCAAAGGTTCTAGATGTCACACGTTGTATTAGACAGGGTTCTCTAGAGAAACAAAACCAGGACACTTATGATTTTATATATGTATATATAAAGATAGATACGTACAGCACTAAGGAATTTAACAGCTAATTAGTCCACACAGCAGTACAGAGGGCTCAGTTCAACTCATTTCTGTGAAACAGTTAATATACTGGAAGTTCTTCAACTCTCCAGGGCTGCTGGGTTCAAGGTCAAGGAAGCAGACGGCTGAGTCTTCTGTAGAGCAATACAGGTAGTCCAGCCACAAGTTGCAAACAGCAGGGCAGGTCATCAACAGTCAGCCAGATGACAGGAGCCCTGGTGGCACAGTGGATTAAGCATGTGGGATTAAGTCCCAAGCTGAAGCGATGTATACACCAGCAGCATGGCAAAGCAGATCTTGAAGGAACCTCAAGCTCTAATGACACGATCCACAGGTTGGGTGTCCCACAGGTAGTATAGCCCACAAGTTAAGGCAGAGAACTGGCTAAGGCAGCTGCACACTGGCCCTATCACCAGAGAGCAAAAGAGAGCGAGGCAGGGCTCGCCGAGCTATTTATCTCTTTGCCTGCCAATCAAACATGTACTTATTGGCCAGGTTGGCACAATAAACCTACCTATCACACACACGGTATGACTTTCCTAGGGCCAGTGTGACAAGTCATCACAATTTGGGTAGCTTAAAGCAGCAAGTTATTCTCATACCATTCAGCTCATAACCGGGTGCCCGCCAGCAGAGTTGTACTCTGCCTGAAGACTTACAAGAAAACCTGTGCGTGTCTGTCTCCATCTTGGCCTCTGGGTTGCCATCTTGGGCATTCCTTGATTTGTGGATGCATCACTTCCCT